AGGTATGCGTGGTACTCACGTAAAGGCGTACGGAAATCTTCTGCGGAGAAATTACTAACTCGGGAATCAGAAAAGCTAGAAGGCTGAAATTTTAAGGGGATGTTCCTTGTCCAAGTGCAATTTAAAAATTTCAAATTCGGCTTTCCAGGCACGTGGAGCGCCCACGTACAGGTATGTAGAGATTTTGGTGTGAAATTTCCAGGGAATGTTTCCTGTCCGAGTACAACTCAAGTATTTTAAATTCAGCCTTGAGGGATGCGTCGTTCTTATGTACGAGCACTTAAAAGTTTTGGCGCAAAATTTCTCACTGAACAACTAGATTGCTTTTAAAGAACGACTGTTAAATGGAAATTGTACATTTATTTTGCACAGTTTATGGCGATTTATGCTAGTGACCGCAAAAGGTAAGTGTGGAGCAACAACCATTCATGCAGTTAATGACTTGAGTACTTTAGGTCCGGTACGAAAACACATGATCGCACGGGCCCGCCCGATGCGTTCCAGTCGGGATTTCACTTTTCCGCCCTTTTAGCTTATGTCGGAAACCCCTTAATCTAGAAAACACAGCAGTTCCGCACTTCATCTAAAATTTTGACTGAATTTGCGCGAATCGTGGATGCGCAAAAGTAAGTCACACACAAACAAACAAGCATATGTTGCAAGTTTCCACTTCGTACACAACATTTTTACCTTGCTGCCATGTCAAACAGTAAGGAAAACCTGTACGGTGCGAGCAGTTGCAGGAAGTTATCAGAGCTAAATTTGAATGATGACATGGATCGGCTGGTGAATGAATTTGATCAGCTCAGAAGGGCCCAGCGAGATCAGCAAGCTTTTATGGATTATAGCGAACCAGAAATTCATTTTGCTCCGACTTATCGTTTGCTGGTTAGTTCTTCAACATCCCTGTATGAAGCCATTGCTACCGTAGAAAGTTCATCTAGATCCTGCAGCACGTCACATGATTTGCATTATCTGTCAGAGTTGAAGCTAAAGTCGTTGCGTTCAGTTCCCGCAGAAAACAGGGCATTTGGGATTCTAGCTCGACCAGCAACAACAACCACCCGCCGACAGGGCTACGCTGAAAAGCTAATCGGAATACAGGAGTCGCAATCTACTAGCGTCATCGATACATCAGTGCGCCTTTTGTTTTTGACATACATAGCCATTAATCGAAGTTATACGTTTATTCAAACCAATAATTTCAAGGATCATGTGCGGTCTTTTAGGTTGGCTCCTCATATTACGACCAGGAACGTGTGCCGTCCTGGTGTGATCGGATCGTTTACAAAGGTAAATCGTTGCAATGCGACCGATACGAATCGAACCGTATGGTAACACTATCAGATCATCTTCCGGTATGTGCGCACTTCAGTCTCCATGCAGGGCCAGCAACTCAAGGGCAATTCTCATGGAATGTGTGCTTTGAAAAAGTACCTCACTGGTACAACATTGTACCATTCACTTGCCGTTTCACATATTTAAATGATTTCTGGAATAGCAGCGGCTCATACCGCGACTGGGTT